TTCACTGCGAGGAGCTGGAGAGAAACCATGTCATCGTGAGAGTGACGTTAAACATTATTATATTATTATAGTTATTGTTAAAGTCTAATTTCTCCCCCCCCCCACCCCCTCGATGGAAAAACAATGATTCCGTCTGCAGACAAAAAAAAAAAGATCTGTGACATCTTGTACTGTTACACCATTTAAAGCCACGTGACGGATTCTGCAGCTCAAAGTGAAAAATAACTCAACAGCATCAGGGTCTTTATGACTCAGACAAAGACACACTGGAGATCTGATCCACAACGACACTGTGTCTGGCTGTGTGAGTGCTTTCACCTGGGCCTAACATACCATCATCATTTTTTTTTTAGACATGACCTCCGGAGGAAGTCCGGATAATTCGGTCTTGGACTTTCTGCAGAGTTTGTCTTTGACACGAGTACATGGCAGCAGGAGGGTCTCCGCTCAGATGTAATGACGACAACACAGAAATCTCAGGTGAGGATTTGTGCAGCAGGAAGAGGTAACATTATTTTCACTGTGAAGATCAGGTTTTTGTCAGAAACAACGTCAACAGGCCTACTTGCTTGTGGTGAATCCTGCGGAGGATCTCCTCCTGTGTTGTCAAATCAGGACTTTCTGCAGACTTTATACCAGGGGCCTGGCTGGAGAAAGTCTGCAGAAAGTCCAGAGGCTCTCACTCAGATATTTGCGATCTCTTGGACTCAATTCTAACTTTATTTGTAAAGTACTTATCTAAACAAGGTTACACAGTACTTCACTAAAATCCAGGCAACAAAATGAATGAACTAAAATAAAAGGTATTAAATTTAGTTCCATTTTAAGAGTTAAATCATAACATAATAAGGTCCTTAAAATGAATGGAGTAACCCAACAGTTTCACTAATTATTGTGTGTAGTAACTTCATCTTTTCTCCTCTAACCTCATTAACTACATCAACAACATAATGTACAATATAACCAATAACTAATTTTATACTTTTATTTTAGTGTTATGAATAACCACAATGCAACATTCTGTGTTTTAACATTAACAGATGGACAGATAAAATAAAAATAAAAATGTCTGTGTAGGTACATCCCATAGGTGCTCAGTTGGATTTAGGTCAGGGGAACGTGAGGGCCAGTCAATGTCATCTAGGAGCGGTCTACACACTCTGACCACATGATGTGGGGCATTGTCCTGCACCAGGAGGAACCCAGGGCCCACTGTAGGAGCATAAGGTCTGAAAGTCACTGAGGATTTTACGTAACAGCAGAGCACAGGTCCCACTAGAGGACGTCAGGCTCTCATGGAATCTGTTTCTGACAGTTTGGTCGCACACATGCACAGCAGTAGACTGCTGGAGGTCATTTTGTCGGGCTCTGGCAGTGCTCCTCCTGTTCCTCTTTGCATAAAGGAGCCGATACCGGTACTGCAGCTGGGTTGATGCCCTTCTACGGCCCTGTCAAGCTCTCCTCGTGTAAAAACCGGTCTCCTGGTGTTTCCTCCATTCTCTTGAGATTGTGCTGGGAGACACAGCAAACCTTCTTGCGTCCACACGTATGGATGTGCCTTCCTGGAGGAGCTGGACTACCTGTGTGAGCTGATCGTGCTGCAGGAACCGCCTCATGCTGCCAGGAGTGACAAGGACACTATAGCAGAACACAAAACTAGAGAAGACTCAGTCAGGAAGGATAAGGAGAGAGCAACCATTCCATTTATGGGAGTTTCTTGCTTTTGTCTCTCCATTGCATCTGTTGTCACTATCATTTGCACTAAAGCAGGTGAAATTTATCCTAAATCACTTGTGCTTCCTTAATGGACAGACTGATATCCCTGAAGACTTGGTGTTATACTGTGAAGACATGTTATATTTCTTGATTGTAATGTTCAGGTGGTAGCTGATGGAAAGTTTGTTTCCTGACTCAGGAGCACTCATCCTTTTCAAAAACATACCAACAACAAAAAAAACATTAAACAAATAATTTGTCATGGGTTTGACTTTATTTACTAGTATATTAACACATTACATGCTACAGAAAATAAAAAGGTAATTTCAATTGTCTTGAAAGAATATAGTGTTATAATAAAATGGCACATTTTGATATTAACACAATTTCCACTGGCATTTTGACACCCCTTCCTTTTTGTGAAAGGAAATGAATGACTTCATGCAGGGCTACTAAAAAAATACTTCTTGGTGGTTTCATTGGCAACACAATTTATAAGATAATGATTTATGTAGCTAAGCACTTGCCATGTGCTATGTGAGTGACAAAGAAGCTTGATTTGATCACAACTACACAGATAAAAAGGGACTTTGTCAAAAAACAAACAAAAAAAACTGGCAGCAAACACAAATGTTACTTTCCTAGACCACAGACGTTTTCCAAGAAATCAGCCAAATATTTCAAACCAGAAATCTTTTAACACGGGTGTGTGGAATATGGCCAACTTGAAAATACAAATTTAAAGCACGACAGTTTGTCAGGCAGAGCTTTAAGGTCAGGGAAACTTATGTGTGGGAGCATTCAGGGAGGATTGAAAACCATAAAAAGGAGAGAATAGAGTCAATGCAAAGTCAGCATAAAAGCAGTTAAGTGCATTTTGTTAAAAATTCTTAAATCTCATAAGCACTGGCAGAATATGGTTTCCAGAAGGATCCCATCTTTCTGAATGTTGCCACAGTGCCACCTAAAGGTGACAAGCTGTGCTGGCCAAAGATACTGAACCATGACATCTGAGAGAAACCGTCAGTTGAAAGAGACAGCAAGTTTTCACTGATCTAATTCAAAGTGGAGCTGCTTCCCTCAAGCAAATGTCTGAGCTGTACATCCAGCCTGCTTCAATCCAAACCAGTTTATGCATTATGATAAATGTGGGTGATGATTGTCAGGTGTCAAAAAGTAGATTGATTCAACCTCAACAGAATTCAAACCCTTTGAGAAGAAGGGCAGTCTGTACTATAAGATTTGCCTGATCTCTCGGCGATACAAAAATGGCAGAGGGTAGTGAGAAAACAGTGAAAGGAAAAGTCCACGTTGGCATGTGCATCGTAGAGGCTTTAAATAAAAGAAGGGGCAGAGGATTAAAAAAAAGTGAGAAAGCACAAGGAAAAACACAGGCTCATAAGCCTGAGGTTTTAAAAGAACAGAATAGTGCAGGGTGGCAGCGGGATTATGAAGAGGTTAAAAACAAAGGGCAGGTACCAAATAACACCACGTTCTTTTCTTCAACACATTTGACAAGATCTGAACACAGAGCAGTCTGTTTTTCTAAGGTAATACTCAGTGAGCTGAATGGAGAGCACTAAGATAAAGAAGACATTAATAACTAACGTGGTGGAAAGCCTACGTTCACTCTGTTCAACTTCATTCATGCACATCAGATGCAGAACTGGAACAAGGGGTATTGCGATGGCTGGGGGCAAACAAATGTGCCCACCCTTCCCCACCCAGTCAGTTGATCTATTTTGCACCAGCAGCCAATCACTCCCTTGTAAATTGTACATTGAAACCCATTTCTTGCAGTCGAACCCAGCCATAAAGAAAACTACAAAATAATAATACAAATATTTTTTAGCATGTAATGACAATCACACAGTTCATCATTTCATAGCAATATGTACTTTTTTCTTACAAAAAGACTACTTGGTGGTTGTAGGTGATGGGTGCACGGGGTGAGCAGAGAGCTGAAGAGAAAGGGTGAGTGTAGTGTTGCCTTCATCTCCACCTCAACAAACATTTCCTATAAATTCACTGCTTCTTGAGAACTGTTCCCTTCAAGGTGACTAACTTTTTCCGCTCTTTCTTGAGACACCATGTCTCTCCTTGTTAATTATCCCAAGTGACAAATTGTCCAGTCATTTGAGTCTACCTGCGTGTGTCGCTCACAGTCTTGGATTAAACCAAAAGTAATGAAGCATTCACGTCCAATTAAAACAAAAGTTGATGCATTGCTTTTTTTTTTTTTAAACTACAAAACACCATTCCCTTCAGCTTCGGTGAGCTGGGAACACGTCTGTCCAGGTTTTGGAACTTAAATATTAGGTGTTACCTCCTACAAATACCTTCAAAAGCAGTCACCCCCTATTTCTTTCATTTCCTGAATGAAGATATTACCACTAAGGAAATACCAGTCTGGAAAAATGAGGCGCAACTGTAGAAAAACAAAATAACACTGCCATAGCAGGTTTGAGTGAGTAACTGCATCCTGTGTGGTGTGTCATTGCAAGTTATATTTGCTCACTACAAACAGATCAGATTTAAAAAGAAAGGCTGGACTTTTTGGAAAATGCACCTTTTGTTTTTTACTTTCTATTTAAGAGTTAGATGGAAGATTGATACCACTGTCTTGTCTGCACGTTAACAGCGGCCGGTTAGCTTAGCATAAAGACTGAAACTGGGGGGAAGCGGGAAGCCTGGCTCCCTCCAAAGGTAAAAGGATCTGCCATGTTTCAGCAAGAGACAATAACAATTTGATGTTTTACACTATTTCTTTCTTCACCAAGTGGAGTGACTTACTCTCTGCTGGTTGCCTGACAACTGCTCCCAGCCGACAAGTAGGTACAAAACACTTGTCAAACTGAATTGCCTGAATATACTCTGTAGTTTGTTTGGTGTAAACAAACAGAATATAACTTGCTGATTGGTGGATTCGCTCAACAAGCCATTTCCTCCTACTTCCGAGTCTTCAAGCTAAGCTTACATTATTATCTTGATATTCCCTGTCCAGGCAGGAGGTATCTCTTCTAACTCAAGAAAGCAAATGAGCTTCACAATCTGTCAATCTATTCCTTTAACAATGTGTAAAAAAATTAATAATGGTTGCATAACAGCTTCAAACCAGACGAAAACACATGGAAATGTGTTGTTACTCTTTAACTTGTTTCTGTATTCCCAAGTGAAATGATTACAGCATGAGTGATCCTACAGCGGCGTAAACATGGTGACGGATGAGGATGAAAAATGACACAGTGCCGAGTGTCATTATCTACTGGCTCCAACACAGGAAGAGGAAGTGGCTGAATTCTGTGGCGACAGGTCTCCTGAGGAGTGAGTGTTGATAATGCGTCCACGACAGGGACGTGATGAGGGGAGGATCTTAACAGTGTTGCCATACCCGCAGAGCAGGAGACGCAGTTTATCTTCCGTTTCCACTGTGGAGTATATGACCCATTCTGAAGTCAGTCAGTCAGAGCAGGCAGTGGAGGACGGCAGGTATGATTAATCTGAGGGGTAGAACTGGAGGATGTGTGTATAACAAGTGACCAACACGGGTCGGTTTATTTCTGTTCTCCATGATTCCTCGGAAATTGTACTTGGTGCAGGTAAGAGCTGGAGCAGACGTGGGGGAGGAGGGAGCAGGTGAGTGTGTGGAGAAGGAAGTTAAGGAGAGAGGGGAGGGGTGAGAAAGTGTTGAATACTAGTGTCCAGGTCGCAGCCCTGCTGTCCGTTCTCAGCTGAGTTCATCCTCGGCATTGTGCTGGTCCAGCAGATTGACATGAGTGAAGGGAAAGTGGCCACGCTTGCCTTTACATTCCCCCTCCCACTGGCCATTTATATTAATTTTGGTCACCTTCACCATATCGCCCACCTGGATGGAGGGAGGGGAGAGAGGAAAGGTGTGAGAGTGCAGAAATAACGACAGCAGAAGTAAAACTAAGAACATAACTGTCAGAAAAAGCTGCAAAATTAATACATTTGACAAAAATAATCAGCAATAAGCAATTAATCAGATATATACAGTCAAACTGCTGAGATTCCACCATGTCCAGCTCCTTATGTTATTAAGGAGGTTATGATTTCACCCCTCTCCATTTGTTGGTTTGTTTATATTTCCCAGGGAATAAAAGACATCTACCTACTAATTCCACAAACGTCTGTCTGTCTGTCTGTCTGTCTGACACGTGTGTCGCAAGCCGTGTTGTGAATTTCCAGAGAAGGTGCAGTGCCGAGTTTGGTGCGATTTGATTTTAATTAAAACTTTGGACGATTGTGTCGGTTGCTTACAGACCTCTGAAATAGCTGACATCGAATACATGAAAAAAAAACAGCAGTTCAGTAAATCATTCAAACTTCCATATAAACCACACACATGAACAGTAATAAAGCTAATTCAGTTTTCTCTTGATAAGAAACTCGTCTGAAAACCATTAATCAATTGTCCAATTAGCAGGTTATTAATATCCAGTCGAACAACTGAACCATTACATTGACTGATGGTTGCTGGAGTGCTGAAACGGAACATTCTGGACTTTTCACCAGAGGAAATGAGATGCTTGAAGCCGTCACCTTGAGTGTTGGAAATTGGAAAATGGAAGATTTTACAGACTAAACAATGATTGGAAATCTATTCAACACAGATTTGGTGATGTGAAAACGCTGCTGAGCCGCAGTCTGGCTGTCAGGAGGACGCACGTATGGTTACAGTTGACCTGCACAGGCAGAGGAGTGGCTGTACCTGTGTCATTGAACCTGTGCAAACAAGGGCCAACAGTCAGTTCCAAAGTTCAGATCTTTGTGAGTGATGACTGAACAGTCGGAGGTTAAAGCTCTTCTAAGAGCTCTAGTATCAGTGTGATAGCCTGGTGCCAGCCCTGACAACTCTGTTTAATGTGTAACTGGCAGCATTCGCATCACTTATCACAGCTGCACGTGAAATAAAATGAGTGCAGCAATTAAGATAGATTTGACAACTTCTCTCAAGTGGATTCCTGTTTTCTAGTACTTCACACAGTACAATGTCCTGCATTGATGTTGTGTGGGGCTGAAAGATATTGTTGTTTTCATTAGTGACTAATCTGCTAATTCTTTTCAAGCGTTTGTTCAATAAATGTGTGTGTAAAAGAGTAAAAAAAAAAAACCAAAGCGTCATCTTCAAAGTGTTTCTTTATCTGACCGACACGTTCTATCTCCACTGGCTATCTGTCCTCCAAGAACAGAAAAAACTGAACTTAAAGGTACAGTGTGTAGAATGTTGTGATATCTAGTGATGAAGGTTCATGTTGCAGCTGAACACCCCTCACCTCACCCTCTCCTTCCAAACATGAAAAATAAACTGTGGTAGACTTTAATTGTCATAAAAACTCAAAAGGTGTTTAGTTTGTTCAGTCTGGACTAATGTAAAAAACATGGCGGCCTCCGTAGAGAGGGTCCCCTCCATGTAAATAAAAATTTTTTAAATATAAAGGGCCTTTTCTGGGGTAAAGAAAACTACAGTTCATACAATTTAGATGAAACGAACTAGTGAAAACATCATGAGGGTTATTCTACATTAAATTTCCCTTTCACCTAAATCTTACATACTGGACCTTTAAGTAAAGAGATGTTATGGTCAACTGAGATGTTGGTAGATAAGAGAACCTGTTCGTGGGCATAAAGGTGAAACACTCAAAGGCTTATCTGATTTCAAGGATCTTGTGATGAAATGTTTTGGAGCTACATTTCCATTGTATATGTGCATTTTTAAATGAAGAAGTTATGTACACTTCACACAAATCCATCGAACAATGAACGAATAAAACTGCAAACCCCCTCCAACACCGACGAAGACGAGACCGTCACATTCGGATAGGAGTAAAGCATGACGTCGGAGCAAAACTCAAAGATATTTAGTTCACTATCACATGAGATAAACAGCAGCACATGTGAGAAGAGATTTTGATAATCTTTTAAATCCAAACGGTGACAACTGCAACATGACGGCAATAACTCGACATGACTCTGCTCGGATGCCTCGCTGCTGCTTGTGGATTTCATTAATTAAGGCGGCTGTTAGCTTGTTATGTGGGTCACTCTTTGACATCAGTGTTGTGTCCGGGAGGAGCTCCGGTGTTTTGACAGGACATATTTGGTGCTTCATTTGTTTGTTTTTTAAACAGAGGGTTTACCCAAGAGACTGGGCTGAAGGTTAGAACTTGATGAGGCTTTATGCAGCAGGTACCAGCGCATTAAATCACTATTTACTTGGCTGCATGTTGGTTCTCAGGGTTGGCTCAGGACATCCCTGGCTACACCAAGTATGCAGACCCTATCATCATTATGCAACAAGCCACAGCCATTTGACACATACTGATCACAGCTGCTTGTTATTGTAATCCATCACTAAATACTAGGCTGTTTTTTCTCTTTCTACTTCGGCTCCCTGTGTTTATAGAATAAAGGGAGATACTAAACACCATGATGCAGTCACGTAAAGCAGCACCACAAACTGAGGCCTAGAAATGATCACACAGCTGATCCAACCCCTCTGAGGCACAGCTTCAATTCAACACTTCAAGTTTCACACTGGTTGTCGTCATGCTACGGATGAAGAGACTCATAGTTAACTGAACAACTTTTGTTTGGGTCTGTTAGTTATGTTTCCCCTTGTATATTCACATGCAGAATCTCTTTTTAGAAATGAGTTGCAGGACTACTGTTTACTAGGACCGATTTTATCGCAGGTGTTTGTCAACATTTTCGCTGCCTTTATTTCAAACTACAATCTCCGCAGATCTAAACTAACATCAACGTCCATTTTTCATAAAGGTCCGTAACCACTGTCACGATGATGCTGAAAGGTTTTGTTTAAAACTTCAAAAACACGTAGTAGAACATATAATTCCATATGAAACAAGGATTACATGTATGCATGACGGCAAGTGAGTTTCAGTTGCTGAACATTAATCTTCACGATTGGTGGGTTTACTGAAGACGACACAAGGAAAGTCGAGCTAATTATTAACTGTCCAGTATCACGGTGCTGAGTCATTCCTGGAAAACTAGAGCTGAGAAAACAAGCAGCCTCACACTGGTCAGAGCCGGAAAAGTCTGCCACAGGTGGGAGTGGTAGAAACCAGCCCATACTCTACACAGGATCTACATGACAGGTGGAACTAAGTAAAGTTCAAACAGCAGCAGTGCTACGGCTCCGCAAAAAGAAATGACGGTACGGTTTAGAAAAACACAAAGGTGGGATCTGTGTCTCTGGCAGTAATGTCCAGCGCCGAGGGAAGGAGACATGAGCACACAGCGACGGCTCCGTCTCCAAGTTGAACTCCAGGCTCAGCTTGACTCCTGGCTTCACAGAGACTAAAGGAAATGGTCCTGTTCCCAAACACAAACTATTTCCTTCCCCCAACGACCTGCTCCGTGGGAGCCTTGCTCTTGCTTCCGGACACTTTTAACAGTCCAGCTACTGGGAGCAGAGCTTAATGGGAATTTTCATATTTTGGGAAACCCTTTCATCTTTTACTGGGAGTTACTGTTAAAAAAAGTACCTTGAACTCAAAAGCAAGTCTAACGCTGAATGTTGAAGCTACTTCAGACTTTACAGATTAACTGTGCTGTCACTACACTGATCTCCAAAGAGGACTTATTACAATGCTTATAGATTATTGAGGAAAAACTACACAGAGGGTTGAATGAGGATTTTCTGACCTTGATTCCTGCTCAACAAATACAGAAGAAAAAAATCAAAGCACCAAACAATGTGAGCTCAGACATGATAAGCTTTACAGGGCTACTCCTACATCCCTCTTTGCTCAATGTCTTCTTCCCTTAAGCACATGTTAAGAGGATGCTGGGCGTCAAGGCGAAACACAGCATGTCCATATTTACCTCTAAAGCCAGGGCTGTCTTGTCGTAAGCGTTGGGCACCCTCTTCTGTATGGCCCTGGCATACACAGGTCCATTCTGGAGGTTTGGGAGAGGGGTGGGCTGGGCGTACTGGCTGGGGTCTCCCAGAAGCGGAGTGCCGGACTGAGCCGTGGAGCCGTCAGAGTTCCCTAGAATCCCCATCCCTCCCGGCGGCACGCCAGGCCCGGCCACCGAATTGGGAGACGCCGGTCGGTACTTCTCAACGTACGGCACTGGGATCATCCCCGCTCGGCCCTCTGAGTTCTGGGCATTCCACCACTGCTCCTCTGGCTTCTCGAGAACGCGGAGGATGTCACCCTTCTTGAACGGGAGATCCTCCTCATCATTGCCGGGGAAGTCGAAAAGTGCTCGGACGTACTCGTCTTCCAGGCGTGGTGGGGGGCCTCCGCCAGGGCCCACGTTGGTGAAGGAGGTGTGTTTGGACTTGTTGATGGGTTCTATCAAAGTGGTGGTGTCTAAGTAGTGGATTTTGTAGAATTCTAGCAAAGCGGGGAGGGCGTCGAACTCCTGGTCACCGATACGGAACCTGGGGTGGACCAAACCTGATGGAAACAAGGGAGGATGGAAGAGGCGTCAGAGAGACAAGTTACCAACTTGAGCATGTTCAAATGTGTCAGGCGTGAATCCTGTTTATTTCTGTAACTACGTGTGATGGTGGTGATTTCCAGAATGACAAGGAAGGATTCGTGTTTCCTTATTTGGCATTTTGTTTCCTTCCAACAAAGCGCTGTGCATCTTTGAGAAAGCTACGAGGAAAAAAAAAAAAAAAAGACATATTCTGCTGCAGCACAGGCAGGAGACAAAGTCTGACTTTCAAACATCTCCAAAACTCTTCCAGCTGGTGAATGAGACTGGTTTTAACGGTGCACCAGTCCACACATTACTACACTCACGCCGC